TTGACCAATTTTTTCCACTTCAATTTGTACTCCAAAATTCCTTAAAAACCCAGTCACTGTAAAACCTGTAATATAAGGGCTCAAAATAATTCATCTCGGTTCCCGTAAAAGATATAAAAAAGTTATCAACTGTTCTAGTTTTTGTGATATTTTGAAGAACATTTTGTCAGTTAACTATTTTTTTAATATAATTCACAGGTGTCTGAAGAATAGTACTGGTCCGTTTGGTCTGAAAATTTCAGAGATCACAAATCAAAAATAGAACTTTATTTTTGTAGTTCACAACATTTTTGTACAATCAATTGCTGATAAGATATATGGTCTGAAATTGGTAAAAATATCATTGAGAGTACTAGAAAGTGAATAATTACAAAAACGGATCTCTATAATTTATTTATTAGTTCTGAAAATTCCCAATGAATTGGGCCAAAACTAAATTCTAATCCACACATCTAAAGTTCACAATTTTCCATTAAAATTCTATTTTCTACGGCTAGTACTGTACTTTCTTGTATGTTTTACAGGAAGATAATTGGTCACTGATTTTAATTTTTGCCGATAATAACATTTTTTTGAAATCGAAATTTTTCTGAAGCTAATGTATAAAATACCAGAATTGATGAGATTATCAACAGTAAAAACAAAAAAAAAAAAGTTACAAAAACCACTAATCGGAAAAATGAAAAATATATATTTCGAAGTTTTTTTAAAAATAAAAGTCAAATTTGAAATCCATTCAGTTCCCTATCAAAATAAGCACAGATAGTCAACCGATATTTGTTAGATTTCATTTAAAATGTTACTGTTTTGCGATCATATCTTGAGCGTAGTCAAGATCTCTGCATTGATATTGATTTCATCTCTTCAAGATTAAAGCACTATTTGTTGCTAATTTTAAGCTGTAACTCGTTTTTGAGAAAAAAATTAAAAGTTTTTCTGTTTCAAGTCGGTCACATTCGTGAACATGATTCTTATGGGGCGTGATGGTAAACGCTTAATGCTAACATTTCGAGTTTTAAGGGTGAGGGGGCCTGGAAAAATGTTTATCTCCAAGTAGAAGTCCTTCGAGTTGAACTTGTGGTGCAAAATTAGGAGGAATCGCGCAGCTGAGCTTTGTGGCAACAATCTTGTGCTGTCGATTGTGCCGTATTTAAAACGAGTATAATAGATTAATTCACACAGTCCCGCTAAAATTCAAACTTCCGCTACAAGCCGACTTTTCGCATTTCCTTTAACATCTCTTTCCAGTGTAAGACGATTTCACATTGTCTTCAAAAAAGATTTTTTTTTAAATGTGGAGATATAGAAACAGTGGAAATATGTTTCAGCATTAAGTTGAAGTCATCTAATTTTTTTGAAAACTACAAACTCGAGGAAACTGAACTTATAATTTTGGTTGGAATGAAATTATCAACATAACAAGAAAGTACAGTACTAGCCGTAGAAAATAGAATTTTAATGGAAAATTGTGAACTTTAGATGTGTGGATTAGAATTTAGTTTTGGCCCAATTCATTGGGAATTTTCAGAACTAATAAATAAATTATAGAGATCCGTTTTTGTAATTATTCACTTTCTAGTACTCTCAATGATATTTTTACCAATTTCAGACCATATATCTTATCAGCAATTGATTGTACAAAAATGTTGTGAACTACAAAAATAAAGTTCTATTTTTGATTTGTGATCTCTGAAATTTTCAGACCAAACGGACCAGTACTATTCTTCAGACACCAGAAGTATACCAATTTTCGACGAGATTTTTCTAGCTAGTTCCTTACATTGCGACGGAAACATTTTTAGTGATTTTTCCGCGAATTTCATTAAATTATGAAACGGTCAAAAAAGTGGATGTTAAGGGTAAGGTCAACAAACTCCGGTAACTGATACAATTGACAGAAAAGGACAATCTGAAAATAGAAACATGATAAGACACAGAAGGTGGAAATGACCAAATGGGAGCGAAACGGAAAATAATTTAGTTATTAAGTTAGGAAACTGGAACAGGAAATTTGTTAAAAAAATAAATTTCACATGAGGCTAATTTCATCAATTTGGGTAATAGAGCGAAGAAAAATTGATCTTTTTTGATGCGCCAAGAGTTCAAAATGCAAATTTCTTTTTCACTAATTACCATATTTCTTTAATTGCTCTTTCAAATTTATTGGAATTTTAAATTTTACGAATATTTAAAAGGAAATGACGACGAATACAAAAAGTGGTGATCTTCCTAAAAGAAAAATCTACCGTAATCTCTAAACCAGTTTCTCTAGTGATATCACTTCTTCTCCAGTTTCATCAAAGACCAAAAAGTGTCACCAGCAGGTGAAAAACGGAAAAATGTTTTGATAATGGAGAGGAGAAAAAGGGGGACGCGCTACGCAGTGGACTTTGCATGGTTCAGGGGAAATAGAAGTCTTATCAAACACGGTTTGAAATTGGCTGCCTGTTGATAGAGGATGATTTATGGATTTTACGGAGCTGGAAAAAAAATTAATCCAATTTTTGAACTAATGAAAGAAACAGAGGGATAATGAGATTATTGACGGTCGTAGGGCGTCAGAAACAAACATTTCTATAGAAACCACTCAAGGAGTTGAACATGTCGGTATTATAGATGTCGCATTTCCGGATGAGCTATGTGAGCGCTATGTTTAATGAGAGATTTCATTAAGGGTGTATTAGTAATTGATAAATTGATAAAATTGATGTCCAGTTTGAAACAGAAAATCATCAGAAAGTGAAGCCCTGAACGAGAACTCGAAAATTGATAGATGATTTATTAGGAACTTGTTACAAACGGTTTTTCAATAATAACCTGGTTTACTGGAGCGTTACCTGGACCTTAAGAAACCAGAAAAATTCCAATAACATTTTTAGAAGAAGCATCTAGGTTGTCGTGCAAAATGTATTGGATGGAACAATTCATGGAATCGTATGTAAAATTGATGTCCTGGACGAAACGGAAAAAAATTGGAAAACTATTATTTTTTGTATTAGGTTGGCAGGAAAGTAACTGTCCATTTTTTTATTAGTAAATAGCACAAACACAAGAATAATCCAGAATTAGCAATATGCACCGTCGTGATCCACAACATGTTGGCAATATTCAGGTAACTCGTGGGTACCATCCCTCCAAAAGCCAGCTAGTGGCAAGTCAAAGTATCCCTCCAGTCCATTTTCTCAGGCATCAATTGGTTAAAGTCCTTCCTTAAGCTCCAGATGACGTCGTATACTTTTGAATAACCAATGATCTGATAGAGCTGAATCAGATCTTTAACGGGGGTAAAGGAGAACCGTCGAGCCAAAGCGGCTCAGGTACGGCGTGACTTTTGAACATGAGGTTTTTTCGTTTTTTAACTGCAGTCAAGTCAGACCTGAGCAGCTTCAGCGGGACCGTTCTCCCTCACCTACTTATAGTCCCGACTGAGCTCTATCAGATTATTGGATATCCGGAGAGATACAACCTCATCAGAGAATACGAAAATTTGCACCATTTATGTGAAAAACAGGAAAAAATGAATACTTTGATTCGCGGCTAGCTGGCTTTTGAAGGTATTGTATCCACAAGTAATCTGAACATTGCCAACATGTCGTGGACCACGACGGTGCATACTGCTAATCAGACATGAGCGGAATAAAAATTTTGAAAATCCGGAATAAGGAATAAGGAATAAGGAATGGAAAAAACACCCGGAATAAGGAATAAGGAATAAGGAATAAGGAACGAAAGAATTTCCGAACGAAGGAAGATTTCTTTTTGTCTTGAAAAACACTGTTTATTTTAAAACACGAACAACGAAGAGAGAACTCACAAACCGAGACACAAACAAGAAAAATGGAGAGGGAACTCTCAAACTAGAAATTAAAAACTAAAAAACAAAATCATAATTGTGAATTATCAGTTTTTAAGGCCACAATTTTTCAAATTGAGTGAACAAAAAGTTAATTTGTCAACAGTGTCGTTATTCAATCGGCTTCTTTTCGGGGTACAGAAAAACGCATAACTTTTCCAAGATTTCCAAAAAAAAATTTCCGAAAAACCGTGCAAATAAAATGTTACGCGGCAATTTAGAACGTTTAAAGTTTTGAAAAGGAATAACAAAAAAAAATCAGGAAGAAGGAAGAAGGAATAAGGAACAAAATTAAAAAACCGGAAGAAGGAATAAGGAATAAGGAATAGAAAAAACACCCGGAATAAGGAATAAGGAATAAGGAATAAGGAATTCCGCTCATGTCTGCTGCTAATCTTGGATTAATCCTGCTTTTGTATTATTCACAAATAAAACAAGGGACAGTTACTTTCCTGCCAACCTAATATATACTTCTCATCTAATGAGAAGTCGACAATATAGAAATTGATTCCTGGAAACTTCAAATGCACTAATAATGCTCGCTCTTTCCGAGAAGAGCGGTATCACGATGGACCGCTGATCCCAACAAATTCCCAATGTTCACGATCCTAACTTACCAAACCCCAGGACCCACACTAGGACCGTTCATCCTGGAACGAACGAAACTGCTTATAGCTAGCCTAAATTGGAAAATGCATATCTCAGCGTGAAATTCGTAGAAGAACAACAACCAAGCTCAGACAGTTATTTTGTAAACTAACTGAAACTGGAAAACTCGAATACACATTATTATCATTTCACACGATTCAAACCTACTACATATAACATCCAAAACATATTCAACAAAACAATCAAAATAGAAAATATGTCACAATATGTACAAGACGAAATATTTCTAATTGGAAACAAGATGTGAATATATAGGAGAAGATGTCTAATATTTTCTCTTATCAATCGACCACGTGGGCAGAAGGGAAGTCCTCAATATTAGGAGGGTGACTGGCCGTTTATTAAAATATCAGGTTTCTTCTCTTTTTCATGAGATTCGTATAGAGAATCAATTTGTTTATTGAATGGTAAAAAAAATGAAATCAGGGGTGTAAAAATAGTACGGAATATACAGAAAGAGTTTGAAACAGGCAAAAAGTCACACCCCGCGGCATCTCATTTCTCTCCCTCCTCTACGCCCTGCCGACCATGTTTCTCTCGGTGGTCTCGTGGTGTAGTGGTTATCACATCTGTCTAACACACAGAAGGTCGGTGGTTCGAGCCCGCCCGAGATCAGGTCCTTTTTTTGGTTTTTTGATTGATAGATTTTGGATTTTCCAGACATTTTGAATCGATTTTTATTGGGGCATATGTAGTTCTTGTTGGATTCTCAAGCTATTTATACTCTTCAGATGTTTCGAATTGAAATTTTGGGCTTCCGTTAGTTTCTCTAATTTGAATAAATTGTTGGTAAAAATTGGTTCAAAAAGTTCATTAATCATTGTCAGAATAAATTTTGTAAGAAGGATTGACAAGTTCTACCAGATTCCAGAAAAAAAATTTCCTGTTCCAACACCTATCGAAGTTTCATGGGATTTATTGCGTTTTTGGATGCTGTATTGTTAAAAATTTTTTTGGATTTCATTTGGAAATCAGTTCCAGGTTAAACAAGTTCGAATGTATCTAGTTTTTTTGGTCAATTAACATTGAAAACGGTAAAATATGTTGAACTTCAAATAATCCTGTTTCATTTAGACGATTTCAGACGGACTTTGTCTTGTTTGATAATTCGTTAATAATCGATTGATGATCAATCGGTCAATTTTTTTGAACACATTTTAAAATGTTTCACCCGATTTTCCAATTGTCTCTCTTACTCACTCTTTGTATGTTTCGGCACACTCCCCGCCGCATTTTGTTGATGAGCGTGCGACGCACGTTCTCTCCCTCCTACCTCTACGCCCTGCCGACCTTGTTTTAATCGGTGGTCTCGTGGTGTAGTGGTTATCACATCTGTCTAACACACAGAAGGTCGGTGGTTCGAGCCCGCCCGAGATCAGTTCCTTTTTTTTCTTGAAATTGATGGGTTTATAAGAGTTGTGTATTTTGCAGATATTTCGAATTCATTTTTAAGGTTAAATGTGTTAAAAATTTTTATCAACAAAAAAAATAAAATTAATCGAAAAAATGTACTGTTCCAACACCTCTGGAAATACTATGGGTTTCCTTGAGTGTCATTATAATTGCATTATTTACGGGAAATTTTCGAATCATGTTTGCAAAAATAAATGAGTGTAAAATACTAAAAGCGAAATTTATGAAGAAATTTGAAATTCCTGTTACTCCATCAGACGAAAATTTCCTTCCATTTATTATTGTGATTCTCATTTGTTTTTCAAATAAATTCTTTGCGATTTCATTGATTACTGTAATAAATTGTTGGTGAATCATTGATGTAAATGATGTGAAAAGGTTCTTCCAAAAACTAAAACAAATACGCTTTGCACTTTTACTTGGGTTATTGTACTCTATCCTTTGTTTGAATTTCCAGTGGTGTGATTTTTGATAAATGGAATCAAAATTGATATAGAAACCGATTTCAGGGGTCCAATTACAATTTCCCAGCTCTTTGAAAATGCTTTAATAATTGAAAACTAGAGTTTCAATTACGCATATAATTTTTGTTAGTTTGGATTTATTAACGGAATAAGTCTCCTCTAACGTTCTTATAAAATAAATGAAACAGAATAAAAGTGAACCAATTGGAAAAAGTTACTTTCTGAAGTTTTGGTTTTCAGTTATTTCCAGCGGTCAACTCGGTATTTAACCGAAAAACCACGAACTTTTAAAGTTTCAGAGATTTCACTTCTAACTGGATAAAGTCTGAGAGAATAGATAAATTGATAAGATGTTTGTGTAGAAAAAACAAGTTTTTTCTGTAATTTCTGCAAGGAACGTTTTGAAATGAGCTTTGGATTTTCGAATATGCTGATTTTGAATATCATAAAGAGTAAGAGATTTTGAAAAATTTTTACTAATTCCATTGTTTTTTGTTTGGAAAAAAAAGAATTTCAGGATCGTGTTCAATTTTTCTCGTAAATTATTTTTAAAGATGAGTGAGGTTTTTCATGTTTCAAGAATCACTATTGTTTGAAACGAAGGAAACTCAAAAAATAAGTTTTCAAAACGAAATTTCTGCTGTTCCAGTTAAAACTCAATAACGATCACAACTGACCAGTTGTGTTAAACGTTTTAAAAATCCCAGGAACAATATCTTACTCTAACTTGTGAAGACTTACAATTGACTTCAAACTCAATGGTTTCTTACAATTCAAATTTGAACATGAAGCTTCTATCAAGATCTGTCCAACCACTAAAAACCCCTATGTCTTATTGCCAAACTTTTGAGTTATACTCTTTAAAGGTGGGGGGACATGAAAAAAATAATGTTCTCGAAATTTCGTTTAAATATGCCCCTCGAGGAGTTAAACTTGTTGGGGCGATGATTGAGGGTGCGGCGCCGCTACCGACTGAGCTACACGGGCAAAGAAAAAGCAGTCGCCCGATTGCATACATAAAGGCGAGGACGACAGCTGTACGCAGAGTGACATTAAGCGTTGTACACCGTTACGGTAGAATGCATACTCTAGCTACAAAAAAACTACGAAAAATCTCCTGACCTTTAAAGGAGGCGAGACAGCAAAAATTTCGGGGGCAGTTCGGGGGACGAAATCGCGCCGCGCTTATGGCAAATACTCAGTTGCTACAGGATCAGTTGCTTCCTGACCAGTTGCTACTTTTGTCTCAGTTTCTATTTTCCCAGTTGCTATTTTCCCAGTTGCTATGACTCAGTTGCTACTTTTGGCTCAATTGCTCGCATTTTCCGAAATTTCAAAATCTCAGTTGCTACAAAATATCTCAGTTGCTACAAAAAAACTCAGTTGCTACAATTGACTCAATTGCTAATTTTTTCTCAAATACTACAAAAAAGAAAATTTTTGTCCACTGTCGTTTTAAGCAACTGATCCTGTAGCAACTGAGTATTTGCCACTGAGTATTTGCCCGCGCTTATGTTGACCATCGATCGTCAGGCGCCTTCGCGCCCCCGTAGCTCAGCCGGTAGCGGCGCTGTACCCCTGAGCTGCCTGTCATGAGTTCAACCCCCCATGGGGGTTCTCTATGCAAAATACCAGGAAACCTTTTTTTTTTGGTGTCTGGCCTCCTTTAAACCAAAACTATTCTCCATGTTGACATTAAAAGACGTATAACTTTCTTCAAGCTCATTAATTTCCTACGAATCAGGGTTCAAATTGTAGTTCTTAACAAGCCCTAGACAATCACTGAAAACCCCTTTGTTTGATTGTCTAGCTTCCGAGTTACACCCTTCAAGTCAAAACCTTACTTCCCTTTGACATTATAAGGGGAATAACTTTCTTCAAACTTATTAGTTTTTTATGTATCAACATTCAAATTGTAGCTCTTGAAAAACCCTACAGAATTATATAAAACATGATTACTCTTGATTTTCTCACGCCTGAGAAAACGTTGTCCAAAGTTTCAAATGCCTCTTTTCTCTCACCACCCTGTTTGCTCTCTTCGCCGCGCGCACACTTTTTGAATTGTTGCGAAAGACCTCCGCTCTCTCAATATTCGAATATCGCGCGTAAATTCCTCTGCGAAAAGATAGAAAAAAGAAGAAAACTCTTGTCTGGCGCGCACTTGCATCGTCTAGTGCATGTGTACGAAAATAAGAAAAGAAATTTTTGTTTATCTTGTTTTTGCGTTGTTTTTTTTCGGATTTTTCCGGCTGTTTTTTTCTTGGTTTGTACCGGGAAAGCTGTGAACTTTTAAAGTTTTTAAAGCGTTTTTATCACTAACTAGACAAATTTTAATAAAATGAGAAAAATTGATAAGGAATTCGTTTCGAAAAAAATGTTGTATTTTCATTCCGGAATTTTTGCAAGGAAAGCCTGAAAATCGGTTTCTTGGGTTTTCAAATAGGCTGACTTTGTCGTAATCAATTGATTCAGAAATTTCGAAAAAAATCGACTGTTGCAAGAAATCCATTTTTTGGTTAACCACATTTTGAAAAATTCCATGGAAAGCTATAAAAAAATTCACTTTGAGTTCAATTATCTCAATTTCTATGAGAGATATCAAAAATTTGTCATCTGATAAAATATTTTTTATAATGTCAACAACATTTTATCAGTTAAAAGTTTTCAATAGCACTTTGGGATAACTGAACTCAAAATAAAAGTATTGGAGATGATGTTATAATTTTGTTAAAAGTCAAATTTCTCATTCTAGCCTTTCGATTTTATGAATTCTAACTGTAAGGTTTAGTGCTATTCGTGTCATACGACGAAATGAGCTTTTTTGCTTAAGTTTGATTTGAAATTGGGTCAACGAAACAGAGAAAAGTTACTTTTTCGACATTCAAATTAGTGGAAATACGGTATCTACCCTTTTCAAAGCTTTTAGATCAACTCTTCTTTTCTAAAAATTGTTATAAATTTCAACTGTTTGAAACACTTCCAATAAACACAAATGAACTTAAACCCTAATACGTAGACGCCTCTGAACACTTTTTTAAAGTGTCTCTTCCCTTCTAATAGGTATTACTCTTGAGCACTTCTATAACCTACAAATTCCCTTTTCCCACCTGTCAGTCCTTTCCTTTTTGAATACCAAAGTTCCCTAGTTTCTTTCTTGTTAATCCTCGAATTGCATTGATAGATTTTTTAGTGCACTCTATAATCCACCCTTTTTTGTCTTCTTTTTCCGTTAGCTTATCTATTTTTCTGCTGCTCCGAACAACATTTTCGAATAACTTCGCTGGTTTTTTCTTTGAAAGTGAACACGAGGTTCATTACTGTTTCTTGAGCATTGTTTCAAGTTTCATTTGAACGTCATAAAGATGGATATTTTGAGAGACACTAGAAATTCCTTTAGCTCTATGAAATCAAAATATTCGAGTCGGGTATGTAATAACTGACCTAGAATTATAAACGCCACCCCAATCGACCTCAATCATCTCGATTTCTGTAAAGGATAGATTGTTCATCATAATATCACCAAAACTTTCTTAGTTGACATATTTTTGATATCGCTTACAGAAATTGAGGTAATTGAGCGCAAAGTGCAAATATTGGAGGTTGTATTCTAATTTGTACGTTGCTCACGCTAACTCTTGCTTTCAATTATAACGTATATAGTGAGCTGATTGCTTGAATTTTATTTGAAATAGGGTTAATAAAACAGGATAAATTGTAATTTTGAAAAAAAAAACTGAAATGCGGTTAAAAATTTGAAAACTGTTCCAAACACTTCTAATAAATGCGAATGAACGTAATCCCTCAATTGATTATGCCTATGGATAACCCATCCTACATGTGCCCTTTCCACACCTGCCAGTGTTTTCTTTTCAAAATCAGACCACAAACCTTAGCATTTTCTACCGATTTAATCGTCGAATTGCATCGCCAGTTTTTTGTCTATTACACTCATCCATCCTCGATTTAGTGCAAAAATTCCGATAGTTAAGCTGAGATTCAAAAAAAAATTGAATTCAAAATATATCGCATTCCCCGTTTCATGGACCTCACTTTTGTGGTGTTGAAGTAAAAAAGTCACTGAATCATGTGCCGATGAAACCAGAAAACTTGAGTCAGAAATGTAATACTTAACTTAACATTTTTAAATTTTATTGATTCTAATGTAAGAAAATTAGTGAGGTTTTTGCCTCGAATGCGGTCAATGCAACAGGAAAAATTGTAGTTTTGAAAAAAAACAAATTACAGGAAGTACGGGACTCTGACTTTTCGAAACTTTGCGGTTAACTCCTCTTTCCGAAAAAATACGGGGCTTTGAGAATCTCGAATGCTCAGCTTTCAAGAATAACGATGCTTGAGAACAAAAATTTAAAAATCAACAGCTCAGAAAAAGTTATTGCTCCATGATTATCATAAAAATTTACAGTGATTTAGTTCAATATTAGAATCATGGTTTGCTCCTAACATCCTAACAAGGGAAGTGTTTTCAGATAGGGGTTGAGAATTCGCTCAAAATTTGTGAAAAGGTACTTTCAAACATGCTGAAAGCGGTGTCAGCAATATCTGATCCCCGGATCCAATATGAATCGAAATATGGGCTCTCAAAGTGTTTTCAGTGCTAAATTTTGACCAAAAACGTTCATTTTCCGAGCTTTCAAACTTGTTTTTCATGATGTTTTCGAATGCGAACCTCATTTTTGAACATTTTTCTATCATCTAGAATAGTTTTTGAACATTTTCAAAAACAATTTTTTTTGAAAATTTCTGAAAAACATCTCCATGGGGTGCCCCACACTTCAAAAGTGATTTTTTGAAATTTTTTCGAAAAGTTCCAAAAAAAGTCTCAGTTATTCAGAAACGATGAAAATAGCGTTCTCACAAAATTTGACATCCCAATTTCGTCTTTGGGCTCAAAAAAATCTCCGAAGAGTCGTAATTGCTAGAACCTTGACAACCCCTAGCTTCTCAAATATTGCTGGAAATTGACTGGAATCTATAGAAAGAGGTTCAAAAGTTATATTTGATCGATTTAGAAGTACTACATTTCGAAAAGGGTAGAATTGAGATGTTTCCAGAGGATAGAACTTTCGTTTTTTAACTATAGGATAATGTAAGAACCCGTCAAAAAAATCATCAATAAATTTTTCATCAAGTTCTCATAAAATCTTCTTTCTACTTTGAAAGTTTTGAAAATTTATCAAATTGTATCATAAAGTGTCTAGAGGGCAAAACTGGAAATCGAAAATTCGTTTCGAAAAAAGCAAAAAAAGTTTTACCACAGCGAGGTTCGAACCAGCATATTCACTCCTAATGACACAGGTCCTGGGCGCGCATACGCATAATGGATGGGCGACGGAGGACGCGCCGATGAATTGGGTACAGGGAGAGGACGCCGGTATGGGGCATATACGGGGCATATGGGGCACACCGCCGCCGCAAAGCATCTCCTCGCCTGGGCTTGCTGGCACTCCATGTAATGAGCTATTTACGTTGGTTGGGGGTTCCTAGAAGTATCAGTTAAGTTCTATATGTGATGTGATTTTGTTCAGGTCTTCCGATTTCGTGCTTTTCCTTTATTATTCCATATTCTTTTATATTTTAGAGGACATATTACTGATTTTTCGAAACTCAATGTTTTGGTTTTGAAAAAGACTTATGGCAGTTTCCATTTAAATTTGATATGCAATCAAAATCAGAAGAAAATGGGAAAAAAATTCGCTAAAAATTGTTTTTTTTTCATTTGTTCAAAAAATGTCTCACTTTCACTTTTTTTGAAATTCCATGAAAAATTGAAANTTTTTCATGCAATTTCAAAAAAAAAAAGATTTTTACAATAATTACAAAGTGGAATCAAAAAATCTCAATATCACCTATTTTGGCGAAAAACATAGCAATTAACGAGTGAAAGGCATGTTTCTGCAAGAATTCAGCGATTTTTCAGTCGCCATAACTCTTTTTCACAAAAAACGTCGAAGGAATAATCAGAAATGTAGGCGATTTGATGAAAAATTGACAATGTTGCCGGTGTGGATTTACGGTAAACAATGGGCGCATCCGGGATTTCGGAGTGTTGTAGTCGGCCTACCGTATCAGACCCATATCACACACATCGCCCACCCACCCAGAATCCATCTAGGATACGCGCGCATTCGGAACACTCGATTCAGCCTCTCCCGCATCGCACACATATGAGACTCATCGCAGCTCGTTGTTCGCGATATGTGTCAAACGGACTTCTAGAGGATCGCATATGGATCGGGTCCTTTATGCGCATCATCGCCCAGGACCTGTGGAGTCACCCTCTTACCACAACACCACACAACCGACATTTTCATCTGGCGCGGAGGGCGCAGAGGAAGGAGGGGTTAGAGGAGAGAGGGAGAGCGCGAAATCGGTATAAAAATTTCAGACGAAGATTTTAAGCTTCCTGGTGAATCCGGGGACAAGATATTTCTAACATCGTGTAGAGGGAGTCTCAAACTATAAGTATTAAAATTTTGAGCAAATTCTCAACCCCCGTCTGAAAACACTTCCCTTGTAAGTTTCTTGATTTCTTGGACGGATACTGTCTGTTCAATAAAACGTGGGCGCGCCGCAGCCGAAAAAGGGGGCGTATACAGGAATCAAGATACCGTAAAACCTCTAATAGAAGGTGTGCCTTGAAAGTATCTATTTTCACACATAAAATCATCTATTTTGGGTCTCAAAAATGTATGTGAAACTTTTTGGGTCACCGACAAGGCTTATGATATTTCATCAGAGTTTTAAAAATGGCAACACCAAAAAAACTCTAATTTTGTTAAATTTTTTCAATATTCCAGACCCCTGCATCAAGGTGAAAGTGTCCTTGTTAAATATTGAGAAGTCTTTAGCAATCATAAAAGTCAAATCATCCCAAAACTTACCA